TGATGTAGTGAGGCGGGATCTTAACATAACTTTAAGAAAAGGTATGATGAAGTTCATGGAGCAGGTAGAAAGTGACCTAGTATCGACCAGTAAAGAGGCGGGGCCAGGAGCTATGACTCAACCCCTGCAACTACAATTAGGTGAGTACAACACACCGCACAAACCTAAGAATAGCTTACCGATACCTCAGTAAAAATCGTTAAAGGGACTCCTGAAAACCGGTACGTCAGGCCAAATACTGGATACGCACACCAGTTGGAACCAACACCTGTGAAAAAACGTCAAGAAAATAGAAAAAGGGGGCAAAGGTTTGCAACAAAGACTTTCCGGAGCTAAGGGCGTGTCTACAGGAAGGGTTAAGAACAAATGGGTAGGAGGAAACATCAACAACATATAAAAAACTGGATTAAGTGACAAGGTGGACAGAAACGGAGTTCCAGAAAGTAACACAGCAAAAAGGGTCACAGTTGTAAGCGAAGACTCAATAGTCATGGGGATTTAGGAAGTATTTCTCATTTTGTCAGGAAGGGAACATTAACGAAGAGGCGGGCCCAAAGCGTGTAAATCGATCCCTGCAGCCACAAATAAGTAACGTTTCGCCCTTTTGTGAGCATTATCAAGTCATGGAAAGATAAATCTCCACAAAGAAGACAACATAACCTGACTCCCAACTCTGACACAAGTAATGACCTTTACTGAGGCTTGGTAACAGTAACAACCCACCTGCATGAAGGAAGTAACACCCCACCTGCATAGGAAGAAAACGACCCACCGCATGAAGGAAGTAACAACCCACCTGCATGAAGGAAGTAACAACCCACCTGCATGAAGGAAGTAACGACCCACCTGCATGAAGGAAGCAACAACCCACCTGCATGAAGGAAGTAACAACCCACCTGCATGAAGGAAAGTAACACCCACCCGCAGAAGGAAGCAACAACCCACCTGCATGAAGGAAGTAACAACCCACCTGCATGAAGGAAGTAACAACCCACCTGCATGAAGGAAGTAACAACCCACCTGCATGAAGAAGAAAACAACCCCCTGCATAAAGGAATTAAAACCCACCTGAAAGAAGAAGTAACAACCCACCTGCATGAAGGAAGTAACAACCCACCTGCATGAAGGAAGTAACAACCCACCTGCATGAAGACGAAAACAACCCACCTGCATGAAGGAAGTAACAACCCACCTGCATGAAGGAAGTAACAACCCACCTGCATGAAGGAAGTAACAACCCACCTGCATGAAGGAAGTAACAACCCACCTGCATGAAGGAAGTAACAACCCACCTGCATGAAGGAAGTAACAACCCACCTGCATGAAGGAATAACAACCCACCTGAAATGAAGAATTTAACCCAACCCACCTGCATGAAGGAAGTAACAACCCACCTGCTTGAAGGAAGTAACAACCCACCTGCATGAAGGAAGTAACAACCCACCTGCATGAAGGAAGTAACAACCCACCTGCATGAAGGAAGTAACAACCCACCTGCATGAAGGAAGTAACAACCCACCTGCATGAAGGAAGTAACAACCCACCTGCATGATGGAAGTTACAAACCACCTGCATGAAAGAAGCAACAACCCACGTGCATGAAGGAAGTAACGTCCCACCTGCATGAAGGAAGTAACAACCCACCTGCATGAAGGAAGTAACAACCCACCTGCATGAAAGAAGTAACAACCCACCTGCATGATGGAAGTTACAAACCACCTGCATGAAAGAAGCAACAACCCACGTGCATGAAGGAAGTAACAACCGACCGCATGATGAATTTAACAAACCACCTCATGAAAGAAGCAACACACCACTTCATGAAGAAGTAACAGCCCACCTGAATGAAAGAAGTAACAACCCACCTTCATGAAGGAAGTAACAACCCACCTGCATGAAGGAAGTAACGTCCCACCTGCATGAAGGAAGTAACAACCCACCTGCATGAAGGAAGTAACAACCCACCTGCATGAAGGAAGTAACAACCCACCTTCATGAAGGAAGTAACAGCCCACCTGCATGAAAGAAGTAACCCAACCCACCTCATGAAGGAATAAACAACCCACCTGCATGAAGGAAAACAGCCCCCCCTGCATGAAGGAAGTAACAACCCACCTTCATGAAGGAAGTAACAACCCACCTGCATGAAGGAAGTAACAGCCCACCTGCATGAAAGAAGTAACAACCCACCTGCATGAAGGAAGTAACAACTCACCTGCATGAAGGAAGTAACAACCCACCTGCATGAAAGAAGTAACAACCCACCTGCATGAAGGAAGTAACAACCCACCTGCATGAAGGAAGTAACAACCCACCTTCATGAAGGAAGTAACAACCCACCTGCATGAAGGAAGTAACAGCCCACCTGCATGAAAGAAGAACAACCCCCCCTGCATGAAAGAAGTAAAAAACCCCCCGCATGAAAGAAGTAACAACCCACCTGCATGAAGGAAGTAACAAGCCACCTGCATGAAGGAAGTAACAACCCACCTGCATGAAAGAAGTAACAACCCACCTGCATGAAAGAAGTAACAACCCACCTGCATGAAGGAAGTAACAACCCACCTGCATGAAGGAAGTAACAACCCACCTCCCATGAAGGAAGTAACAACCCACCTGCAAAAAGGAAAAGTAACAACCCACCTGCATGAAGGAAGTAACAACCCACCTGCATGATGGAAGTTACAAACCACCTGCATGAAAGAAGCAACAACCCACCTGCATGAAGGAAGTAACAACCCACCTTCATGAAGGAAGTAACAACCCACCTGCATGAAGGAAGTAACAGCCCACCTGCATGAAAGAAGTAACAACCCACCTGCATGAAGGAAGTAACAACCCACCTGCATGAAGGAAGTAACAACCCACCTGCATGAAAGAAGTAACAACCCACCTCATGAAGGAATTAACGTCCCACCTGCATGAAGAAGTAACAACCCACCTGCATGAAGGAAGTAACAGCCCACCCATAAAAGGGAAGTAAAAAACCCACCTGCATGAAGGAAGTAACAACCCACCTGCATGAAGGAAGTAACAACCCACCTGCATGAAAGAAGTAACAACCCACCTGCATGAAGGAAGTAACAACCCACCTGCATGAAGGGAAGTAACAACCCACCTGCATAAAGGAAGTAACAACCCACCTGCATGAAAGGGAAGTAACAACCCACCTGCATGAAGGAAGTAACAACCCACCTGCATGAAGGAAGTAACAACCCACCTGCATGAAAGAAGTAACAACCCACCTGCATGAAGGACGTAACAACCCACCTGCATGAAAGAAGTAACAACCCACCTGCATGAAAGAAGTAACAACCCACCTGCATGAAAGAAGTAACAACCCACCTGCATAAAGGGAAAGCAAAAACCCACCTGCTGAAGGAATAAACAACCCACCTGCATGAAGGAAGTAACAACCACCTGCATGAAGGAATAACAACCCACCTGCATGAAAGAAGTAACAACCCCACCTGCATAAGGAAGCAAAAACCCCCACCTGCGTGAAGGAATAACAACCCACCTGCATAAAGGGAAGTAACAACCCACCTGCATGAAGGAAGCAACAACCCACCTGCGTGAAGGAAGTAACAACCCACCTGCATGAAAGAAGTAACAAGCCACCTGCATGAAAGAAGTAACAACCTACCTGCATGAAAGAAGTAACAACCCACCTGCATGAAGGAAGTAACAACCCACCTGCAATGAAAAAGTAACAACCACCTGCATGAAGGAAGTAACAACCCACCTGCTTTGAAGAAGTAACAACCCACCTGCATGAAAAAAGTAACAAGCCACCTGCATAAAAGAAGTAACAACCTACCTGCATGAAAAAAGTAACAACCCACCTCCCATGAAGGAAGAAAACAACCACCTGCATGAAAGAAGTAACAAGCCACCGCTTTAAGAAGTAACAACCCACCTGCATGAAGGAAGTAACAACCCACCTGCATAAAAGAAGTAACAACCACCTGCATGAAAAGAATAAAAAACCTACCTGCATAAAAGAAGTAACAACCCACCTGCATAAGAAGTAACAACCCACCTGCATGAAAGAAGTAACAAGCCACCTGCAAAGGAAGTAACAACCCACCTGCATGAAGGAAGTAACACCCACCTGCATGAAAGGAAGTAAAAACCCCCACCTGCATAAAAGAAGTAACAAGCCACCCTGCATGAAGGAAGTAACAACCCACCTGCATGAAGAAGAAAACAACCCACCTGCATGAAGGAAGTAACACCCCACCTGCATGAAAGAAGTAAAAAAACCCCCTGCATGAAGGAAGTAAACAACCCCCCCTGCATGAAGGAAGTAAAAACCCCACCTGAAATGAAGGAAGTAACAACCCACCTGCATAAAGGGAAGTAAAAACCCTACCTGCATGAAAGAAGTAACAACCCACCTGCATGAAGGAAGAACAACCCACCTGCATGAAAGAAGTAACAAGCCACCTGCATGAAGGAAGTAACAACCTACCTGCATGAAAGAAGTAACAACCCACCTGCATGAAAGAAGTAACAACCCACCTGCATGAAGGAAGTAACAACCCACCTGCATGAAGGAAGTAACAACCCACCTGCATGAAGGAAGTAACAACCCACCTGCATGAAAGAAGCAACAACCCACCTGCATGAAGGAAGTAACAACCCACCTGCATGAAGGAAGTAACAACCCACCTGCATGAAGAAGTAAAAAACCCCACCTCATGAAGGAAGCAACAACCCACCTGCATAAAGGAAGCAATAACCCACCTGCATGAAGGAAGCAACAACCCACCTGCATGAAGTAAGCAACAACCCACCTGCATGAAGGAAGCAATAAACCCCCCCCCTGCATGAAGGAAGCAAACCCACCGCATGAAGGAAGCAACAACCCACCTGCATGAAGGAAGCAACAACCCACCTGCATGAAGGAAGCAACAACCCACCTGCATGAAGGAAGCAACAACCCACCTGCATGAAGGAAGCAACAACCCACCTGCATGAAGGAAGCAACAACCCACCTGCATGAAGGAAGGGATGGATCGCGCCCACTTCACACCAAGAAACAGGAGCTTGGCAGCGTTCTCGTAGACGTTGTCTGTTGGGGTGATAACCAGAGCTCCCGGGTCAACGGTGATGGGCGGTGCTGCTGTAGTGTGGGCGGTGGTGGTGGGCGGGGTGGGCGTGGAAGAAGACGACGTGGGCGTGCTGGCTGGTGATGGTGTGGGCGCAGAGGCAGCCGTGGGCGGAGTGTGGGCGGACTCTGACTTATCTGTCGGAATGTTGGCAGTGTTAACACTATTGTTGGTGGCAGTGTTTACACTGTTGTTGGTGGCAGTGTTTACACTGTTGTTGGTGGCAGTGTTTACACTGTTGTTGGTGGCAGTGTTTATAGATGTGGCAGTGTTTACACTATTGTTGGTGGCAGTGTTTACTCTGTTGTTGGTGGCAGTGTTTACACTATTGTTGGTGGCAGTGTTTACTCTGTTGTTGGTGGCAGTGTTTACACTATTGTTGGTGGCAGTGTTTACTTTTGTTGTTGGGGGCAGTGTTTACACTAATTTTTGGTGCAGTGTTTAAATCTGTTTTGGTGGCAGTGGTTTACACTATTGTTGGTGGCAGTGTTTACTCTGTTGTTGGTGGGGAGTGTTACACTATTTGTTGGTGGCAGTGTTTACTCTGTTGTTGGTGGCATGTTTAAAACTATTTGTTGGTGGCAGTGTTTACTCTGTTGTTGGTGGCAGTGTTTACACTATTGTGGGGCAGTGTTTACTCTGTTGTTGGTGGGAGTGTTTACTCTGTTGTTTTGGGGGCAGTGTTTACTCTGTTGTTGGTGGCAGTGTTTACTCTGTTGTTGGTGGCAGTGTTTACACTGTTGTTGGTGGCAGTGTTTACCCCTGTTGTTGGTGGCAGTGTTTACACTGTTGTTTGGTGGCAGTGTTTACTCTGTTGTTGGCGGCAGTGTTTACACTGTTGTTGGTGGCATGTTTACACTTTGTTGGTGGCAGTGTTTACTCTGTTGTTGGTAGCAGTGTTTACTCTGTTGTTGGGCAGTGTTTACACTGTTGTTGGTGGCAGTGTTTACACTGTTTTTGTTGGTGGCAGTGTTTACACTGTTGTTGGTGGCAGTGTTTACACTGTTGTTGGTGCAGTGTTTACACTGTTGTTGGTGGCAGTGTTTACACGTTGTTGGTGGCAGTGTTTACACTGTTGTTGGTGGCAGTGTTTACTCTGTTGTTGGTGGCAGTGTTTACACTGTTGTTGGTGGGAGTGTTTAAAACTGTTGTTTGGTGGCAGTGTTTACACGTTGTTGGTGGCAGTGTTTACACTGTTGTTGGTGCAGTGTTTACACTGTTGTTGGTGGCAGTGTTTACACTATTGTTGGTGGCAGTGTTTACTCTGTTGTTGGTGGCAGTGTTTACACTGTTGTTGGTGGCAGTGTTTACTCTGTTGTTGGTGGCAGTGTTTACACTGTTGTTGGTGGCAGTGTTTACACTGTTGTTGGTGGCAGTGTTTACACTGTTGTTGGTGGCAGTGTTTACTCTGTTGTTGGTGGCAGTGTTTACACTGTTGTTGGTGGCAGTGTTTACACTATTATTGGCGGCAGTGTTTACACTGTTGTTGGCGGCAGTGTTTACACTATTATTGGCGGCAGTGTTTACACTGTTGTTGGCGGCAGTGTTTACACTGTTGTTGGTGGCAGTGTTTACACTGTTGTTGGTGGCAGTGTTTACACTGTTGTTGGTGGCAGTGTTTACACTGTTGTTGGCGGCAGTGCCTTGATCGGTAGCGCACTCAGCTCACACACTGAGGTCCGGAGTTCGAATCTCGGTACGGCTGGAAAACATTAGAGACGTGTCTCCATAGGACACTTGCTGTTCCTGTCCCTGTTCAACCATCAGTAAAATGGGTACCTGGGCAACAGTTAGGAAACTTTATTCTGAAACGTTTCGCCTACACAGTAGGCTTCTTCAGTCGAGTACAGAAAGTAGGCAGGAGCAGTAGAGATGTGAAGACGATGTAATCAGTCCATCACCCTTGAAGTCGTAGATTTGAGGTTGTCAGTCCCTCAGCCTGATCTTCAGATAGTTCCAGACTATGGAACAGAACTTCTCCAGGCTGAGGGACTGACAACCTCAAATCTACGACTTCAAGGGTGATGGACTGATTACATCGTCTTCACATCTCTACTGCTCCTGCCTACTTTCTGTACTCGACTGAAGAAGCCTACTGTGTAGGCGAAACGTTTCGGAATAAAGTTGCCTAACTGTTGCCTATGTGTCTTACCTACCAACCTGTCGGTATTGTATACCATTTGATAATCAAAATAGGTACCTGGGTGTTAGTGGACTGGTGTGGGTCGCATCCTGGGACAAAACTGACCTAATTTGCCAGAAATGTTCAGCATAACAAGCGGTTTTCTACACAGTAGTATGTCACTGATGTCAGCTATGGTCTGTGTAAGATGTATCATGTACTTGTACAATAAAGATTATTATTATTATTATTATTATTATTATTATTATTATTATTATTATTATTAGGCATATGTTATGTTTATGTTTTTAATAAATTAAGATTATGGCTGCGTTGTAGATATTTAAAAATATAACAATAAAAATGTTTATGAATTAATAATAATAATAATAATAATAATAATAATAATAATAATAATAATAATAATAATATAATAATATTATTATATTATTATTATTATTATTATTGCTATTATTATTGCTATTATTATTATTATTATTATTATTAGTAGTATAGTAGTAGTAATAGTAGTAGTAGTAGTAGTAGTAGTAGTAGTAGTGGTATCAGTAGCAGTAACAGTAACAGTAGTAGTAGCAGTAGCAGTAGCAGCAACAGTAGCAGTAGCAGAAGCAGTAGCAGTAGCAGTAGCAGTAGCAGTAGTAGTAGTAGTAGTAGTAGTAGTAGTGGTATCAGTAGCAGTAGCAGTAACAGTAGTAGTAGCAGTAGCAGTAGCAGTAACAGTAGCAGTAGCAGAAGCAGTAGCAGTAGCAGTAACAGTAGCAGTAGTAGTAGTAGTATTAGTAGTAGTAGTAGTGGTGGTATCAGTAGCAGTAGCAGTAACAGTAGCAGTAGCAGTAACAGCAGTAATAATAATAGTAGCAGTAGAAGAAATAGAGTTGTGGCAGTAATAGTAAATAGTTGTAGTAGTATTAGTAGTGGTAATAGTAGCAGACGCAGCAGCAGTGGTGGTAGTAGTAGCAGTAGTAGTAGTAGCAGTAATAGTAGTAGTAGCAGTGGTGGTGGTGGTAGTAGTAGTTGTAGTAGAAGCAGCAGTAGTAGTAGTAGCAGTGGTAGTAAATAGTAGTAGTAGTAGCAGTGGTGGTGGTGGCAGTAGTAAGTAGTAGTAGTAGTAGCGGTAGTAGTAATAGTAGTAGTAGTAGCAGTGGTGGTGGTGGTAGTAGTAGTAGTAGTAGTAGCGGTAGTAGTAATAGTAGTAGCAGTAGTAGTAGTAGTAGCGGTAGTAGTAATAGTAGTAGTAGTAGTAGCGGTAGTAGTAATAGTAGTAGTAGTAGTAGCGGTAGTAGTAATAGTAGCAGTAGTAGTAGCGGTAGTAGTAATAGTAGTAGTAGTAGGAGAAGTGGTAGTAGTAGTAGTAGTAGTAGCAGTGGTGGTGGTGGTAGTAGTAGTAGTAGTAGTAGTAGTAGCAGCAGTGGTGGTGGTGGTAGTAGTAGTAGTAGCGGTAGTAGTAATAGTAGTAGTAGTAGTAATAGCAGTGGTGGTGGTAGTAGTACTAGTAGTAGTAGTAGTAGTAGCGGTAGTAGTAATAGTAGTAGTAGTAGTAGCAGTAGTATTAATAGTAGTAGCAGTAGTAGTAGCGGTAGTAGTAATAGCAGTAGTAGTAGTAGTAGTAGTAGCGGTAGTAGTAATAGTAGTAGTAGTAGTAGCGGTAGTAGTAATAGTAGTAGTAGTAGAAGTGGTGGTAGTAGTAGTAGTAGTAGGTAGAGATAGTGTAGTAGTAGTAGGTAGTAGTAGTAAGTAGTAGTAGAATGGGTAGTAGTAGTAGTAGTGAGAAGTGGTAGTAGTAGTAGTAGTAGTAGTAATAGTAGTAGTAGTAGAAGTGGTAGTAGTAGTAGTAGTAGAGTGAGTAGTAAGTAGTAGTATGTAGTAAGTAGTAGTAGAGTAATAAGTAATAGTAGTAGTAGTAGAAGTGGTAGTAGTAGTAGTAGTCGTAATAGTAGTAGTAGTAGGAGAAGTGGTAGTAGTAGTAGTAGTAGTAGCAGTAGTAGTAGTCGTAATAGTAGTAGTAGTAGTAGTAGTAATAGTAGTAGTAGTAGTAGTAAGCAGTAGTAATAGTAGTAGTAGTAGTAGTAGTGTAGTAGTAGTATAGTAGTAGTAGTATAGGTGGTTGTAGTAGTAGTAGTAGTAGTAGTAGTAGTAGTAGTAGTAGTAGTAGTAGTAGTAGTAGTAGTAGTAGTAGTAGTAGTAGTAGTAGTAGTAGTAGTAATTTAGGACAAACAGAATATAACAAAAAACTCACCATTAACTTTAGTACCATTGTCTGAAGAAAATAGGTTAACGTTGTTATTGTTAACACTGTCGCTGTTGTTGTTGTTGTTGTTGTTGCTGTTATTATTGTTGTTGCTGTTATTATTGTTGTTGCTGTTATTATTGTTGTTGTTTGTTGTTGTTGTAGCGGATGATGGCTGCGGTGGTACAGGAGGCGTGAACATTGTTCCTGGCGAGGTCGGAGCTGGAGACTTCTGCCTGGCCACCACTGCTGGGAGGCGGCGAAGGAGAAGGGCGTCGCGGGGGTCTGAAGGCCGAGCCGCCATTGGTCGCCCGGCAGATCTCCGCCAGGCTGCTTATTGGCTGCCGGTGATCGACCGTTGGTGGCTTCAGCTCAAGACGCTCAGCGATTGGCGGCTTCAAACCGAGGCGTTCGCTGAGTGGCGGCTTGAACTCCAGCCGCTCCCCAGGAGGAAGTTTATACTCCAGACACTCGTTTATTGGAGGCTTGGAGTCGATGGGCGGCGAGGGAGAGTGATGGAGGGCGGTGTCTGTATACGGGCGGCGCAGCTCGCCGCCCAGGATGGCCAGATTAGGCTTGAAGGCAGAGTTATGGCTGAAGTGTAGGTTGAGGGGCGCCATGGATGGTGTCATCGGCAGGAAGGGCGGCTTAAAGGGCATGGGTGACAGCAGAGCCGGGTAGTAGGGTGGCAGCGGTGGCAAGCCGGTCCCGCCGCCCACCGACACTGGGGGGAATCCTGCCGCCCCTGGCATGTCTGGAGCAAACATGGGCCGCTTCTGGCAAGACCTTGGCGCCCTCTCGTGTTGCACAGCTGCAAGAGGAACAAGACATCAGTGTGGCAGTACTCAGGGCACTCACTCAGTGCTAGTACTCAGGGCACTCACTCAGTGCTAGTACTCAGGGCACTCACTCAGTGCTAGTACTCAGGGCACTCACTCAGGCTGTACTAGGCACCACCTTAGTACTCAGGGCACTCACTCAGAGGCTAGTCTCAGACACTCCACAAGTAACAATAAACAAACACTTGTCTACTTAGCAAGACGTGATAACATCTGCGGGAAGGAAGTGTTGAGTCTCTTGCTTTTGACATTACCCTCCTCCTCTTCCTCATCCTCCTCCTCCTCTTCCTCCTCCTCCACCTCTTCCTCCTCCTCATCCTTTTCCTAATCCTCCTCCTCTTCCTCCTCCTCCTTCTCTTCCTCCTTTTCCTCCTCCTCCCCTTCCTCCTCCTCTTCCTCCTCCTCCTCTTCCTCCTCCTCCTCTTCCTTCTCTCCTCCTCCTCCTCTCATCCTCCTCCTCCTCTTCCTCCTCCTCCTCTTCCTCCTCCTCCTCTTCCTCCTCCTCCTCTTCTTCCTACTCCTCCTCCTCCTCCTCCTCTTCCTCCTCCTCCTCTTCTTCCTACTCCTCCTCCTCCTCCTCCTCCTCCTCTTCCTATTCCTCCTGCTCTTCCTCCTCCTCCTCCTTCTGCTCCTCCCAATCCTGAAGATGAAGAAACATGTGCAACACCTGGGTATGCTTACAGTGGAGATGTTTCGCCCACCAACGGCTTTACTAATCCAATACACACGGTAGAAGAATCAGTTGATAATGAATCAGTGAGAGGCGGCGGAGGACAGAGAATTAATTGGAGGTGATCAGTTCCTCAGACTGAAGAAATACCTGACCTGGGCTGGATTCATCAAGATTCACCATGATTCATCAAGATTCACCATGATTCATCAAGATTCACCATGATTCATCAAGATTCACCATGATTCATCAAGATTCACCATGATTCATCAAGATTCACCATGATTCATCAAGATTCACCATGATTCATCAAGATTCACCATGATTCACAGATCACCAGATTCAAGATTCACATGATTCATCAAGATTCACCATGATTCATCAAGATTCACCATGATTCATCAAGATTCACCATGATTCATCAAGATTCACCATGATTCATCAAGATTCACCATGATTCATCAAGATTCACCATGATTCATCAAGATTCACCATGATTCATCAAGATTCACCATGATTCATCAAGATTCACCATGATTCATCAAGATTAACCATGATTCATCAAGACTCACCATGATTCATCAAGATTCACCATGATTCATCAAGACTGTTGGACGGAAAATCTTTCTAGGCTAGGGGACTGACCACCTCAAACCACTACATCTTCAGTAGTGTTATTTGTAGTGAATTAATAAACACCTCTGGTGGGCGAAACGTCTCCACGACAAAGGCACCCAGATATTGTGTATGTGTCTTATTTATCAAGGTATGTGTGTAATGATGTGTAGTGTGGGTGTTGTGTGAGGTGTGTGTGTGGTTGTGTGTGTGTATGAGTGTGTGTGTGTGTTGTGTGTGTGTTGTGTGTGTGTGTGTGTGTGTAGTTGCTGTGTGTAAGTGTAGTGTGTGTGTATGAGTGTGTGTGTGTGTGTGTTGTGTGTGTGTGTGTGTGTGTGTTGTGTGTGTGTGTGTGTGTGTATGTTGTGTAAGTGTTGTGTTGTATGATGTGTGTGTGTGTTGTGTGTGTGTGTGTGTTGTGTAGTGATTTGTTGTGTGTTGTGTTGTGTGTGTGAGTGAAAGTGTGTGTGTGTGTATAGAGTGTTGTGTGTGTGTGTGTTTGTGTTGTGTGGTGTGATGTGTGAGTGGTGTGTGTGTGTGTGTGTGTGTGTGTGTGTGTAGTGTATGAAGTGTGATGTGTGTGTGAGTGTATGAGTGTGTGTGTGTGTGTGAGTGTGTGAGTGTGTGTGAGTGTGTGAGTGTGTGAGTGTGTGTGATGTTAGTGTGTAGTGTGTGAGTGTGTGTGAGTGTGTGAGTGTGTGTGAGTGTATGTGTGTGACTGTGTGTGAGTGTGTGTGTGTGTGTGTGTGTGTGAGTGTGTGAGTGTGTGGTGTGTGTGCGTGTGTGAGTGTGTGTGTGAGTGTGTGAAGTGTGTGGTGTGTGAGTGTGTGTGGTGTGTGTGAGTGTGTGTAGTGTGTGTGAGTGTGTGGTGTGTGTGAGTGTGTGTGGTGTG